TATCTAGCATGTTTTCTGAGCAATGCCAAACATACTATGTGACCACTGAGGTTCGTTGGATTGGGTATTAGGAAACAGCATTTAGCTCACCATTCTGGGTTCTGACTAATGAAGTGTTCAGTAGTTGGATTCCTTTCTCATTAAATATATGTTATTGTACAAACTGTTTTGGCCTTCCCTGGAATGCTTTCTTACGTCCCTATAACCTTTAGCGTACTTCCTTTCCTGCCTTCATCAGCTTGATATTTCAGGGTCCAGAAATGTTTATGATGATCACATGCAGCCTGAAATGTTCAATCTGACCATTCTGGACACTGACCCTGAGGTGGCTCTGCTTTATGCTTCTCCTTGTGCTACTTCTCCTAACACTGTGCTTTTCTGTTTTTAATATTTAAAAAAATTGACTTTTGTACCAGTTGTTCACAACAACAATGGCATCTATTCTGCTCTTTTAATTTGTAAGAGTCGTTATGGATGGAAGATTTCTGCTGATTTTGGCAAACAGATTACTCCTGCCTCCCAGGGAGCTCCTAAAGTTCTCTTTAACTTATTATGAAATCACTTGTTTTCTTGGTAGGTTATATTTACCAAGACCACGTAAATTATTCATTTGTCAATGAGAAGATAGGACTAAAAACTGATGAGAATACAAGCAGAAATCTCCTACCCATGTTTGTTCATGAAGAAAGTGATTCACCACTTATTTTGCTCTTACCTGTGCAAATCTTGGAACCTTGGATTGCTGCTTCAATCTCCTCCTGACATGAGATGAAGAAGCAAGACTTGTTTTCTTTTGTCAAGGTGATCTATGTCCTTATATACTTAATCTATTCATTCTAGGGCCCTGCAAAGTAGTTTCACAGAAGCAAATCATATCTAATTTAAATTCAAATGCTGTAAGTGCATTGTAAATCTGCCTTCAGTGAAATTTAATAGGTGGTCATAATTATTTATCTATGTACCTTTTGTATTTTATCTTTATGCAAAGCAGTGTAAGATTAGAAAGAGTTATGCACACATTTGAAATGAAGCCTCCTACCAGTGATTGATATGTTTTAGAATGACCTAAGTCATGCTCTTAGGCCAAAAGAGGCATAAGTATCTCATGTGGTTTTATAAACAATATTTAAGTGTTGTGTATTGTCAGACTTTCTATTATATTTATGCATTAATTGGAATTTTGTTTACTCTGCAGAAGGTAGATACAATTCAGCTTTTAAAAGAGAACTTGGGAACATTGAATGATTGAGAACTTCTCTCTCTCTCTGTGTTTGTTTTGAAACAAGGTCTTGCTATGTAGCTCAGGCTGGCCTTGAACTCACTACGTAGCCCAAGCTGGCCTCACACTTATGGCAATCCTCTTGCCTTAGCCTTCAGAGTGCTGCATTACAAGCAGGCTCAACTGAAAGCTTCTAGAAGTAGGGTTACACAAGCAACAGTTTTTATTCAGTGAATGTGTACTTTGATCTTAATCTGTTTACAATCCAGAAGGTGGAAGAATGAAGCAGAACAGAAGAGTCCTACAGAGGTGTACCTTTCCCTGGAAGCAATGAGACAGGTGTTGGTATTGTAGTTGTAGGCTCCTGAAAGCCACAGGGAATCTGGACTTGAACTAGACTTGGGCCCCTTGTTAAAAGCAGGCATCTTTGTCTTGGGAAATCAAGAAAGGAGAGTACCACCTTCTCTTGTATTCTGTCATTAAACCTAGTTCTACGCTTGTTTCTATCTTTAGTTTCCTGCTGTGTGCAATTAGTTCCAAAGAACTAATTTTGTACATCAGAAAGTCTTTGTTAAACTGAACACAAGATGTGGAAGATAAGATGGGTCTTAAAATTTTTGTACTTTGTGTTCAAGCCAGTGAATGTCTTTGCTAGTCCACCAAGAGCACATCATAATATTTTTTTTAAAGAATTCTTAAAATAAACATGAGAGTAATTAAATTAAAATCCATGATTTTGGGAAAGGGTTTAGATTTCAAATGAGTTCACAAGTTGAGCTCACCTCCATTTGCTCTGATGCACTTGGGCATGAGGTGATGAACTTGGGCATGTTCTTGTGACCAAAATCTCAGTAATGATGGCATTTTGCTCAAAAGAAGACAAAACCAAATAAATGAACTGTTGTGACAGTTGAGCTTATTTGTTAATTTGATTGGGTTGGGAGCTACAGAGAGGACTGGAGAAGTCTGTGTCTGGGTGTCTGAGAGGTCACTGAGGTTGTGAACTTGGGATCTATATCTGATCCCTCATCCCTGCTTCTTTGCTGCTATTTCCTTGCTCTGGTTCTCAGCGGGAAAGGACTAAACATGTTTGTTCTGCCACACCCTACTCCCGTGAAGTTTTCCTTGGGAGTCAGTTGACCATGGAGCAAGTCCCCTGAAACTGTGAGACAAATGAAATTGGACTTCCTTTAAATTGTTGGGAGTCAAGTACTGTGTCAGAGATGGGAAATCTGACTAATATGCCAGGGTGGAAGGCCCCAGTAAAGGGGAAAGAAGGAGGCAAAATGTTTGATTATTTGTGGAGATGCCAGATTTCTAGCTTATGTTCTATATGTCTTATCTATATCATAACTTTTGCTATCTCAAATGTTTCCATTATAAAATTTCAGAGCACTTTAATAAGATGTTTATGGACAGTATTTAATGTTTTTTGTGTTTGTTTAAACTTAAAAAAAATCTTTATTGGTGCCTCAAGCCATTGTGAAAACATCTGTCTACTCTGGGCTTGGAAAGCTCTGAAGGCTGATGCTGGACTTATCTGCCCTTTGCAGACACATGGACATCTGAGGATCAGACACCTTCTGCATATTACTGCCATCAAAGTAGTTACTTAGAGTACAAGGCATCAACAGAAGGAATTCTCTTTTACAAAGAAGAAACAAACAGGTATTAGCACAAATCTTTCTTTTCAATGAGCTAAGAGAAATTAGTGGTATAAATGAAATAACGTAGCATGTATATTAAAATATTTTTGAAACAATGGAATGTGTAATTTGGGGAAACATTTGACCCTCTCCCCATGTACTACTTATCTATCTTCCATTTTGCTTCCCAATTTCATGTATGTATATATGTACATTTTGTGTTTCTCATATAAGAGAAGTCATGTGATATTTAAACTTGAGTATCTGAGTTCCCTTAACATTATGTTCTCAAGTTGCATCCATTTACTTATGAGCTCCTTGTATATCCTTCTTTATAAAAGAGTAGAACTACATTGTGTATAAATATCACACTTTTCTTATCCATTCATCTGTTAATGGACTTATATGCTATTTCCAAGATCTAGCTATTAAAAATTGTGGTGCTATAAACACAGGTATACATATATCTCTGTAATATTAAATTTTGACTCTTTGGGGAAGATTCCTAGGAGAGAGACAGCTGGGAAGAATAGAATTTATATTTTTAATTTTTTGAGCATTTGCTACACTGATTTCCACAGTGGTTGTTCTAGTTTAGATTCCAACAAACAACACAGAAGAATTTATTTTCCCCCACATTTTCACCATCATTTGTTGTTAATTTTTTTTAATAATAGCCATTCTTTCTGTGGTAAAATGGCATTGCAATGTAGTTTTAATTTATATATTTCTAATGGCTAGGGATATTGAATGGGTTTTCATGAAATTACTGGTTATTTGTAATTTGTCTGAGAAATATCTCTTTATTTTAGGTGCCCATTTTTTATTGTCTTTTATTTTGGGGAGCTTAATTATTATTATTATTATTTTTACTTCTATATGTATTCTAGCTGTAATTCTTCATCCAAGGAATAGCTGGCAAAATTCTTTTTGCATTTTGTGGGTTGTCTCTTCAGTCTGTTAGATTTTTTTTTTTTTTTTTTTTTTACTTTGTAGAAGCTTTTAATTTGATATTATCTTATTTGTTCATTTTTGGTAAAAAAAAGTATCATTGGCATTCTATTCAAAAAGTCCTTGCCTATACCTGTGTCATCAAGAGTTGTATCTACTTTATATTCCAGCAGATTAACTGTTTCAACAATTAGATATTTGATCAACTTTGATTTTAATTTACTACAGGTGAGATATACAGGTCTAGACATGACACTCTGCATGCGAATATCCAGTTTTCCCAGTACTATTTTTCAAGAGGCCATCTTTTCTCCAGTATGTTTTGTCAAAGATCATGTGGCTGTATGTCCCTGGGGTTGTCCCTGCTTCTTTTATTGTGTTTCATTGATCCACCTGCCTGTTTCTTTCTGTGCCAGTATCATACTGTTTTAATCACCGTGGCTTTATAGTATAAGGATTGTGGTGGATTGTGATGCCACATATTTTGCTTTTGTTACCATGATTACTTTTGCTGTTCTGGGTCTCTTTTTGTTCCATATGAATGTTAGGGATGTTTTTTCTAGATAGGTGAGAAATACCCTTAGTATTTTTATTGGGATTGTATTAAATCTGCATGTCATTTTTGGGAGTATAGCCATTTTAATTATATTGGTTCTGTCTCTCCAGGAACAAAGTATATCTTTCAACTTTCTGATGCCCTCCTCAATTTCCTTTTTCAAAGTGATGTAATTTTCATTGTAGATGTCTTTCACTTCCTTGGTTAGTTCAATTCCTAAGTACTTTTTATGCTACTGTTAATGGTGTTATTTTCCTAATTTCTTCTTAATGAGTTCATTACTAGTGCAAAGGAATGCTGTGGAACTGTTTGTTCATTTTGCATCTTGCTACATTGCTGAATGTAGTTATTAATTATAGAAGTTTTTGTTGGAGTTTTTGGGTCTTTTAAATATATGATACTGTCATCTACAAACAGTGATATTTTGACTTCATCCTTTCTTATGTATATCACTTTTATTTCTTTCTCTTGTCTGTTTACTCTGCGTAATATTTTGAGGACTGTGTTGAACAGGAGAGGTGATAATAGACATCCTTGTCTTGTTGAGTTTAGAGGGAAAACTCAGTTCTTCCCCTTTTAATGTATTGGCAGTATGTTGGTCATAAATGGCTTTAACAGACTGAGACATGGTCTTTCTATACCTATTTTCTTCAAGGTGGTTTTTTTTTTGTTTGTTTTTAAATCACTAATGGATGTTGTCAAAGCCTTTCCTTTGTCCTCTGAGGTGATCGTGTGACTTTTGGCCTTGCTTCTGTTTATATGATGAATTATATTTACTGATTTGCATATTAAACCATCTTTGTATCTCTGAAATGAAACCTACTTGGTCATGTTGTGTGATCTTTTTAATGATTTATTGCATTCCCTTGGCTAGTATCTTGTTAAGGATTTTTGCATTAATGTTTATTTGAGAGATTGACCTGCGGTTTTCTTTTTGGTTGCATCATTTTCTGGCTTAAGGATCAGGATACTGTTTTTTCTGAGAATGATTTTGGAAGCATTCCTTCCCTATAGAGTTCATGAAAGAGTTTCAGTAGTGTTGGTGTTAGAGATATATAAATTAAACACGCTATTTGTCACAACAAAAATGTATGCTTTTGTCTGTTTCTGACTGAACACTCTCCCTTTATCTACAATTTTTTTTCTCTTTGGGCATTCTGTTTACTTTTGTAGTGATGTTGAAGTCTATCTATGTGGAATACAAAAACTAATAAATATGCAACCAATTTCTTTTTCTAGTATTAGTGATATTGTGTATATAATTATAACACTATCATGAGCAAAGAAACCCTATATATTTTGTATTTCCTATACCACATTAATTAAATGGAGGTTCACTGCTAAAACCTTTGTTAACATTTATATTTTAACACATGAAATTAATTTATGGAAAACAGTCTGAGATTCATAGTTAAAAAAGAAAATTTACATGTCTGTGATAATGAAACCAAGCATTTGTCCTCAGAGGCACATACACATGTAGGTAGTTGAGATACTGTTATTAGCAACTGACATGATATACTCACTAAGTCACACAAGTGTATATGTATTGACCTATGCTCACAAGTTTCAGTTTGGCTTCACACAAGGGGCAGAGGTAGATTTGTACACCCCCACCCCCACCCCACCCCAGCATACACACAGTGTTCTGTTGTTACCTACTCAGTCTGAGCTCAAGCACTGCACAATAAAGTCGTGAAAACTATTGCTAAAAGTCACTCAGTAATGTTAAAAGTTTTAAGGCTTTTTTTGGTGGGGGAGCACATTGCTAGCTGTGCAGGGCCTAATACAGATTTCAGGTCATGGTTTGGATACTTTTCTGCTACAGTGAAAGCCCATATAATATAGCTATTTCTTAGTTTAATGGGGCTTTATGCATTCTCTTAGAAAGGCCCTCCTTTTACTTCCAGAATGTCTTTTAAATTAGGCTATGATTTTTTTTTTTTTTCTGAAATGGGTAAGAGGTTTAGGATTTCCTGGAAGTCCACTTACGATTTAGTTCTAGAGGCCTACATAAATCTGTGCAGCTGCTTGATCATAAAACAAAAGATGGAAAAGTACTCTTGAAGATCCTACTCAGCCCATAGATTTTTTAGATTCCTTTTCATTTGTAGTCATAGTAAATAAATATTAAAAATGTAATTTAAAAAAGTCAATTTCCTGGCTTAATTTTATGGTGAACAGGTATGCAGATCAAACCCTACTCCTTCTTTATGTACAGTACTCACATAATTAGAGGGAGGTTAACTGCTTACAATTTCCTCAGCAATGTGTTGGTTATAACCAGATATTAAAGTACTTTTAACAGATAGCCAGTGAAGGTCCATTTCAAGAACCAGCCTTTGAGATCACTCAGTTGTGTTTCATCCTCTTCACCTTCACTAACACTCTCTCTGTGCAGGGTTTTATAATTACTTGCTTGGTTTACTGTCACTGATCTTCTAGTTTCTGATCTGGAAACCCAATATTTCATTCTCCGCCTTCAGATACACAGAGTATGACAGCATTTTAAAAATGCAAATCTCACCATGTATAGTGTAAAATTCTCTTCTATGTTAAGTACTGAAAATTATTTACAGATGCAGAGGAGGGAGAGAGAAAAAGACATGTCCTTTAAATAAAAATAAAGCCCCGAGCAGATGGGGTATTCATTTCCTTTCCGAGTTTGCAGACTGCTTTTTACAAGCCCTTCCTTGACAGAGTGAATTTTTCCACATTTCTGGTTCCACTTCAAACCATCTTGTCCCAAGTTTGTTCTCTTAAAGTTTTTCATAGACGGCCCTTTCTGATGAATAACTTCCCAGGTATTTTATCTGGCTTTGTGTATTCTTTTATCTGGGATACTGTTTTTGGAATGCCTCTTCTCTTCTCATTGTACCTAAGTAACTACCTAAATGCATCTTTTTAGTACATTCAGGGTAGGATTCTAGAACTAGATTCCCCCAGTATTGACAACCACAAAATTATTTTTCTGTGTAATATGGTATAAAACAAAAAGAAATTAAAACACAACCAACTAGGCCTATTTCTCCCTTCCTCCTTCAATATTTCTGAGTATTTATGGTTCAGTTCACATGGGAATTTGGGGGTTGTGTTTACCATAACAAAAAATAAGACCATTGCTGTTTCTAGGGTACTTACAGTCTTGGAGGACACAGACCACTACTCTAGTGAGAAAAGTTCTATAATTAAGAAGTATATGGTAGCATTAAAGATCCCAGTGGAAACACCTATCTCAGGCTACCAGAGGAAGTTTATCAAGAAAGGAGTTGGGTGGTACAGGGAAATGTGTTCAGGAAATCAAGTAGATACTTTAGGGAGAGGGGACTCTATACCGTTCTCATAGCTTGGAGCTGTAAAGAGAACCAGCAGGAAAGGTAGATGGTCTAGCCCGTAATGGGCCTTTTGAGTCATATGAAAGAGTTTGGGTTTTATCCTAATGTAGTGATTCCTAAATTTTAATGTGCATTCAAATGAACTGGGAATCTTTCTACAATGTAGATTAGAGTTTAATT